CCAAATATTTAACTTGAATAACAGAGCCTGCTCTTAATTCTCTCAAGTAAAAAGAGGTAATTTACAAAAAAACAAAAAACAAAAACCAAGCAGCTTCAACTCATAGTTCAAACATTCATACAAATGCTTTTCCTCTGGGTGTCCTCCTGTGTCTGTATGTAGTGGGAGTGATGTTTGATCAGGGACATCCATAAATGAAAATGGAGTTCCCTTTCACTGAGTGTGTGTGCTGGTGAAGGATACAGTGACTTTTAGTACATTGGTGGTATACTAGCTCCTTTGACCTATGCCAAGATGCCAGCAGGTTAACTCATCATTGTTACACCATTGGTGAAAAAGTCAATGCTCTGAAATATTGATTTTAGTATGTGTAAGGAAATAGTTTGGACTCTGTGACACCTTAAGAGAGTCTCAGCAACCCTCAAAGTTTGGAAATTACAATCCGTCTGTATCATAGGGGTAATATAAACGTTTTAACTACTTGTTTAGTACTTAAGACCATTTTTCTAGTTTAACCAAAGAGAAATTTAACATGCTTATATTTTGGGCTTTTGGATTTTTCTAATGTAAACAGTGGACATTCTTTTCAAAACTTAACATACAAATTGAAAACAAAAGAATAAAATTAAAGTTCAGAAGTAGCTGTTAAATTCATAAAATATCATATTTAAAATTGAAGTTTACACCTGAGCATATGGAACTCATTTTTTATTTAGGAAATAATTGCATTGTGTCTTACATAAATACTTTGTTTTCAAAATCTCTGATTATATTACTGCTCTAAGGTAATTGAATCCTCATTAATTCGAAGAAACATTTTCTTGCATTATTATTCACATGATTTTCCTGCATTATTTTGGAGATGAACAATATTTTTGCATCTTTATTGATATTTCTCTCTTTGTGCTTTATCACTTAGAGGCATCATTTCTAGTAGTTTGTGTCAAATGCTTTTTAAAATCAATTTATTGAATCAATTTCTGGAGTAGAGCACTATAAAGATTAATCTCCCTATGTGAGCTCCTTGTCTCTTGAAACCATGAAACTGTGTTTTTCAGATGAGATCATAGCACTTCTAGTCTTGCACTTCACTTTTCCCTCACTGCTCATCAGGTACACTATGAGGGAGTGGGCACATAGCTCAGTGGTTGAGCATTTGCCTGGCATGTGCAAGGCCCTGGGTTTAATTTCTAGCCCGGCAGTAAATTTTTTAAAAACAAAGCTACCATACGATACAATAAAATTGCATAAATTAGAATTCTGAATCTCCTGTGAGTACTTAAGGCAAAATATGCAACCATCCTGTACCCTTGGAAGAATTTGGACATAGAATAAGACCTATGATTCAATTAAATTTAGCCACATTGACCTATTCTCACAATGGCCAATAGAGGGGGACACAGGCTAAGAATTGTGACTGCAGTAGTTTTTAGTGTTTACTGACATTGTATACTTCTGGGTGTTTATTTACTTGACCACAATTCTAACACATAAGGAGAATTCATATACTTAACAGCTATCACCTTATGCAAACTCAAGAGGAACCTTACCATATTGTGAAAGTGAAAGTAGTTTGAATTAATGTTTATATTTAGCACCTATCAATTTATTATTGACAAAGTACAGATGTTTGGACTCTACAAATATGAGGCAGAATTCAAGCTTGAAAAGAAAAGGGTTCTTGAAACTTTTTATAGTTCTTAAGTGAAGATCTAGTGCCTAGTTTTCAGTTTAGTTAGGAATATGGGTTCAATCATTTAGATCCAAAACCTAGTCTATGAAAAATTGTCACATATTAAATTTCTTATTCCTGCCAAAGGACAGAAAAAATTAAAAAGTCTGATGCTTCTGTACCAATGACATTAGTGATGCCATTTTTATATTTTCTCCTTAATTTAAAACTACTTGTTTAGTACTTAAGAACACCTTTCTTTATTTAAATACATGAAGAATCAAAAGATACATGGATATATAAAAAATCTTCATTTAATGTTACTACTTATTTGTCCAGAGTAATAATAAATCTGAGTGTTCTCACTCAACCTATATTTAATTAATTTAGAGTTACACTAAACTTCTTTTTAAAGAATAAGAAAATAAGTGCATTGAACATTATAACAAAAATTAAAGGTAGTTTTCTTTGATTCTGAAAGCAATTTGGAATCCAAAAAGCACATCAAGGTTAAAATTTGTAATAATACAACCAGCAAAATTTAGCTTACTTTCTAGTAGTTTGTGTAAATGGAAATAAATGATATTTAAGTTTATGTGGGTAACTATGTCTTTTTCTCTATATTTAACTCAGTAAACTTTGAAGGTTTTTTGAGATCAAGAACTATCTTCATTTACTATATACTCCTAGTTTCCTATAATAACTTTGAAACAAGTTTAATTTTAGCTTTCTTTTACAAATTTATGACTCATTACAAAGTGAAATTTATATTTTTTTTCTGAAAACAAATTCCAAGAAATAAAGTAACACAGAACTTAGAGAAAATGGTGAAGAGAATCCTAAATCTTGTTCTCTCTATAGGTTTCCAGGGACAACTAATCACGAAATTGTTTTTCTTTTGTTTTTTTTTTTTCATTGTAATAACACATTTTATTAACCTAATATATCCAAAATATTATTTCATCAGGTTAAAGGGTTTGTTTTCTAATGTAAGCTAAGCAAAATGTCAGCTCTATCCAACAAATGATACATATTTATTAAGCAGAGCAAACAGAGATACATACCAGTTCTTGGAGAACAAGAGTAGGTAGCATGACTAACGGTCTTGGATAATGCCCAAATGCAATTTAAGTGATAATTTTATCCATTTCTCCTTATAATCCCTCACCTTTTCATGATAACTAACCTAGCAAAAGACTCTTTTATGTTTCTCCATTGATTTCCCCCTGCCTGGAATCAAGCAGAAGTGCTAATGAGTAATAAAATAGCCTAAGGCAAACAGCAGGATAGGAAACAATGAATTTGATTCATCAATCTGTCCTGAATAATCAAGATGCTATAATATTATCTGTGATACATCTAATTGATGGGGATATTTTTCATTACAATCAGCCTTAATTTTATCTAACCAAAAGAGTATACATTCTAAGTGACTTTGGGACCAGTGCCTTTTGGAAAGAACATTAATTATCACTCTCCACTGTCCTCTGTAATTACTTAGCATTTGCCAAAATTCCTAATCAAGCTGAAATTGAAAATAAATATTTGCCTTCTTAAAACCTTTTTTTCCAGGAGGACAGTGTACCATTGTGTGTTTTTTTTTTTTTAAATCTTTTTGCTTACCTTTGATAATAGAATTTCCCAAGACTGTGCCTCATTTTTCGTTGTATTCATAAGAGACTTATTTCTGTCTGTTGGTTTTGACTTGGATCTCTACATGCCAACTCCCAAATGTACATTCCTGGTGCTGTGCTAATGCCTTACCTAGGCTCTAAGTCCGCTGTTCTCAGATACTGCCTTCTTAATCACCACACTTGCACTTTTCTCCAAATCTGAGTGGACCTGTCAGTGGTAATCACTCATATCTGGGTACTGCCATCTAGTGAAAATAAATRACCTTTGCCATCTTTTTCAGCCAGCCCAGACTCCTGCCTATGATGCACTGCCTTCAGCCTATTCACCACCCTAAAGCCACAGCAGAGTTTTCAGAACATACAACAGGCCCTGYCAAACCCTTCCTCAAAACCAAAGAGGAAGCAGTTTCCAGCTTTCTTTCCTGCACTTATCATGCCCTGTATGAACTTCCTACCCTTTTTGGTGTTTTGATCTGCCTTTTGCCTTTCCCTGGCTTTTGTACTCTGCTCTGGATCATGACAGTAGACTGCCCGCTGGTCTTTTTGTCTGGATGTTCTTTCTGAATTCATTCTTTTTTTGTTGTTTTCATATTAGATTGAGTCCACACTTCTCAGTCTAGTATTAAAGAATAGACCTAATATTTACCTTATCTTACATCAATGATTGTTCCATGCTTAATTTAATAAAGTTCATTGCTTCACTATCCTATTATTTTTTCATTCCTGTTTTCTCTAGAACATACACTTTTATACCCATTCTAATATCATAATTCCATGTGCCTTTCCACCTGTATGCATCTTTCTATTCTCTTCACCTGGAGCACCTTTTCTATTCATGTTAATGAAGTGAAAATGGGCTTTGGCTTTCTAACTCTCAATCTAGCTTTAAAATCTCCACTTGTTTCTCTTAGAGTGTTCCCCCCTCACCCAATGGGGAGATTTTCCAAGACTAATGAGTGCCTGAAACTACGAATAGTACTAAATGAGTATATGTACTGTTCCTCCCTTAGCCTTTCACTTTTTTACTTAGAGAAAGAGCTTTATGGCTCCTTTTTGGCATATCTGAATTGCCAGCATAACTGCTCTTGTACTTTTGGCGTTTCTTAAATAAAATAAGGGTTTCTTGAACACGAGCACTGTGCTGCTGCAACACTCAGCCTGAAAACGGAGACATCTCTTAAGTGACTAATGGATGGGTATCATGTACAGTGTGTATATGCTGCACAGAGGGCTGGGCTGGTACATGGATTGCGGGGAATAGGGTGAGATTTCATCATGCCATCCTCAGATTGGTCCTGAGTTTAAAACTTATGAACTGTTTATTTCTTTAATTTTCCACATAGTATTTTTGGACCACAGTTGACTATAGGTAACTGAAACTACAGAAAACAAAACTGTGGATGGGAGGCTGTATAATATGCAGATTATCTCTGTCTTATGTTGATTAAATCTCTGCACTGCAGTCTTATTTTTTAGTTGTAGTGTAGTTGTCAATTCTCCAGAAATTTTAGAGCTCTCAAAATTGGAATAGCCACTTGTGCTAGTCTTCTGGTAAACATTATTTACTATAGATCTTGGTGGATGACAGTTGATTACTTGATTAAAAACTTGATGAGCATTACTTAACATTTTCTTCCATCTTCTGTTTTTGGAATATTTAAACCTTATCTCTCTCTCTCTTTTTTTCCTCCTAGAAAGTCATCTTCTAAACAACATACAACTTTATGAACCTAAAGAATTTGACCATTCCAAGTCTTAATGCCACACCACTACTCCAGCAAATTTGTGCTATGGCTGGTAACAGTGACCAGAAGCCTGAAGAATTAAAATGCCAACACCAAACCTTACCTTAACAGCTCTGGTCTGTACCATTCTCRCGCATTTTTAATATATTTTGTTTTATAACCACTTCTAAATATTCTTGGGTTTTTTTTTCCCTTTCTTTTTTCTATTTTTTTTAAATTAAGTAGTTTCGTTTTATTTCCTGTTTACTTTGTGTGCAACTACCTGCTTTTCATGACTCATTTGCTTAAATGACAGTGAACAAAGCCAGCCTGGGCTGGTACGGTGCTGTTCACTTGAACAGGTGCTGTTGTGCGGAAAGGAAACTCTGTGACTAATTTAGATAGTGGGTTTTCTTCTTCCAGATTCTTTCCATTGAATTCTTACAGTCAATATTTACAATTTTCAGATTGCAGTAAATATACTGTATGAGAAAAATATTAATAAGATTAAAAGCATTTCTTACATCTTGGAAAATTTTCTAATGTTTGAGAATTTCACTGGGGATTTTTTTTATATTGAACCCTTTTGACTTTCCAGTCTTGTGACTTTTTACTTTTAGTAAAGAGTCAGAAAATCTTCAGACTGGAGAATTATGAAGTTCACTGACCATGCACTGTGCTCAGAGATGCACCCCAGTGCCAGTGCTTCTCAGACACATGCTCTTCGACAGCATTCCAGAACAGGAGGGAAGAGAAGAGAAATCTGTTTCTTCCCTTCTACTAAAAAATTCAGGCAGCTTAAAACCTTAGTGCTTTCTTTTTTAACATTTCCAAATTTCAATACTTTCCATTATTTGAACACTTGGATAGAACACTTGCTTTGTATTAAACCTCCTTGTCTATGTGTAAAACTGACCTTTTGTTATTGAGCAAATATCTCTTTCAGATAGTTTGATGATTCACACAGGTTTGAGGATGCTGAGAGAAGGGTAGGGGACTGTGGTGGTTATAAGAAAGCTATACCATTTAAAGGTGACACCAGAGACCTAATAGGGACTTATTAACTGTATTGAAAATTTCTTCTTTTGCTTTTGACCCTATGTATAGTTATGATGCCAGATTAGATTTATAGCAGCTTCAAGTTGTATTAAATGATATTTTGCTTTCTGTAATACTGTTATAAAATAAAGTTTTGTTTATTCTCTAAACATGTTTCTTTTCCTTTTTTATTATAAAGGTTTTAAAAAATAAATTGGGAGTGATGTTTTCATCAGAAGTCCTACTAGTATTTTGCAGAATAAAATTCCGTTTTCCACTGTTTTGTAATTTTGATGCTGCTGCCAGCATCACTGATTTGAAATGGTGAAAGCAATGTTGAAAGTTTGTAAATCTAATGTTTAGCATGCCAGATTCTTTCCGCCTGCTTAAATAGTACCCCAGCTTTTATAAATTCTCCAAGGGATATTTTTGCTTGCTTCCTTTGTATCTTTTTGTTGTTGTTGTTTTGCTTTCAGCAACTGTTTTAGTTGTACCATCTGAGTCCTGCTCCTCTGTTTCATGTGCTTTTTAACTTTGTGTGTACTCCGCCTTAACCTATCAGGCAGACCAGACTGCTAGGGTTGGGGTGGGCGGCTGCATCCAAGTCTGATTAGGAGGGTTTATTGCAAAGATTTCACCCAGGCACATCAGATGATGTGTTAAATTTTCTTTTAAACGCTGTACAGCAAATGACAAATGGTATATTTCTTTTCAAATGTTACATAGAATTTCTCTTGTAGTCACTTAAAGTGAGTGCATTAAATATAATTTGCATAACTTGTCTTTGAGATCTGTTCCCACTAAATTATCGTGAAATTGTGAAGGCCCTTTTCACTTTCTCTCTAATTCTTAGAAAAACAACTCCTCTCAGAAAGCCAAGGCTTAGAAATATGAAACCAAATATGATTCTGAAAATATATTTCTCATCAGAAAGTTTTTTATGTGTAGTATAGTTAAATCATAGATTGAACTTCCCAGGGGTTTTGAGAACATATTCTTTCATGTATCTAATTATAATAGCAGTGATTAAAAGAAAGTTTGTCTTTACAGCACCTATGGACTCTAGGGAATGCAGGGTGCTGTGTTCATTTAGGGCTCAGTTTTACTCAGCTGAGAAAGCAAGGACAGGTTGACATTCTGGAGCCACTGAGAGCATCTTTGAGGACTTAGTACCCAAAGAGCCACTTAGGAAAAATGTTGATAATCCCATGTGTGACATCAGCACGGGTGTCTTTTTAAATATTTTGTATGTCTTAGGATGTCATGATCTTACTTGGTAAACTGAACTTTGACAGCCCCAAATCATAGAGTAAATAGGAACGTCAGCAAGGTTTTGAGATAGGGATTTGAACAAGTTTAATAAGGTGGAAAGAATATTTCTGAATTCCTAGTCTATTTAATTGAAATTATAAATAAAATTTTTGATTATATGGTTCTTGCTTCATTCTGTTTGTCACCCATGTCAGGATAGATGCCACTGCCTCAATGCTGATAAAAACTCAAGAGGTCTTTTCTGATTAGCACATGCTAGTTATAAAGTCAGAAAGCAAGAATCTCTTTTTTTTTTTTTTAACATTTTTTAGTTGTAGTTGGACACCATACCTTTATTTTATTTATTTAATTTTATGTGGTGCACAAGGATCCAACCCAGAGCCACAACCCCAGCCCAGAAAGCAAGAATCTTATGAGCATAGTTTGAAAACTTTATAAACACAAATCAGAAAATTGATTTACAGAATGTTTGACATGAATTCTGAGAGTTTATTAGTTACGAGTTCTGATATCTGAGATTTTTTTTTTTTCAACCAAATAAGTTTTCAAGGGAAATCTGTTCTTGATTTTTACTATTGCTACTAGAAAATTCTAGAAATTGTTACCTGGCCAGATTATAGTTATAAGCATTTAGCTTTTTACAAGTGTCATCGCAAATAGTATTTCTATGCCCAATTTTCTATTTTATCAACAATACAGCATTGGAATATGGAATATCCACAGATTGGCAGTCCCTCTCTGTCTTTGCAAACCATCTTTTTTGTTTTGTTTTAATTTTTAGTTGTAGATGAACACAATGCCTTTATTTATTTTTCTTTATGGGGTGCTGGGAAGCAAACCCAGTGCCTTACATGTGCTAGGCAAGAGCTCCACCACTGAGCTACAACCCCAGCCACTGCAGATCATCTTTGGCAGTATCAAATTACAAGTGATCAACAAGAGAAAGAAAGTTAATGTTATCAGCTTTAGGTTAGTTCTGTTTAAAAAAAAAAAAATTTGTTGGTAAATTTTCATTGAATAAAACAGTGTGTGACAGAACTTAAAGCACCCATTATCTTACTGAAGATTTAGTTGGAGAAACATTATCTCTAGCTGGAAAGTCTTTCACTTTCACATTAGAAATAAGATTAGAAATTGTCAAGCTGAGACCATTTTGGGTTGTGGGAGTGTTTGTGGCCCCTGGTAAAAGGCTTTGGAACATTGAATGGACGTGCCTATGAGTGATATAAGGAGACTGGACCTTATTTGGATGAAGACTGAGACAGCTTGTTTTGGTGGCAGTAATGAAAAAAATGAAATCTTAAAGTGGATCTACGAGCATGCGAAGAGCAAAGAGTTAACCTGCAGCCACTTGGCCATGCTTAGTGGTTAATCTGACCAATTTGTTAGTAGGGCCTTCAAACAGATGGTAATGAAATCTTTGGGACTCATTTTCTCCATGGGAAAATGAACATATTACTGTTCCTCTCTATGCATAGAAAGTTCACGAGTCCAGTCATAATTTCATTGGCGATTTCCTTACTCCCACTTTATTCAGCAGCAACAAGAAATAGGTCTTGATTTAAACTACTTGGATATGCTTATTGTAGGAAACATGTATGTTTAGAACTCATCTGTTACCACAATAGGGGAGGTGGTAGGCAGGCATCTACCATAGCCCAAACTCAGGCTCTCAGAGTGCCTATTTCTGGAGGAAAATGGAGTGAACTCTGAAGGCTGCACCACAGATTTGGCTGGCAGCTGCTGAGATGAGGGTATGATGTGTCCTTTCACACCTTCTGTTAAAGAAAGCATTTTTACACAGGCTGATTCCATCAAAGGCTAAAAAGAGATCCCTCCCAGAACCAAAAAAATAGTGTTATTCCTTCCATATGGCATGAACACTGTTGTTATAAATTATCTGTCTGAAAGCCCCAGCAGACATTTTCATTGTAATCGAGTGCAATAAAATGGAGAAATGAGTGTCTTCAGTTGAACAGTGGGTTATATTATGTAAGATGTGCAAACAGACCATTCACAATGCATATGAGGAATTTTGGGGTGGGGTTGAAGGGAATAAGCAGAATATATCTCACACTGGTGATGCTTTGCTTTATTTATGTTTTGAGTCATCCCCACAGTATTTTATATGACTGTCACTACCAAAATTGGTGCTGACAAAATTTACTGTTTTATAAAGTGAATCACCAATACCCCATTAGTCACGTGCAAAGACTGGAATATAACCAGATTTAGGACATACTGAACATCTTTTGTTAATGTTAGTAGGGAAATGTGAAGAGTACAATAGTAATCTATTTAAACCACCACATTGAATTAAATGTTTCTTTCAGTTATTTATGTTGGCTCTTCAGGGTTCCTATAGAAGAAGAATTCTGCTATTGAAATTTTGACTTCTTTCCATAGTTAGAAATAGCTCCCTGGTGTTTTGGTTTTATAGGCAAAGACTTGAATTCTTCTCACCAGGAGTTATGTGAACATTGTGTTCTCTCTTTCTTTTCCCAGCACCAAAATGCCATATTCTCAATTCGCACCATGCTGAGAGCACCATTGATGAGTGGTCTGTCCCTAGTATTGAGAGATTCCTCTTGTTTTGTGTTTGTCACAGTGATTTGTGAAAGCTCTTGGGAAATGGAGAGATGCATACTCAGGTCCAGAAACTTCTGAAAGGGTATTGTGGAAGAGTTGCTGCCCTACTAGAGGAACAAGGTGGACACCTTTCATAGGGCATCCACAGAGCTCCCTCTAGGGCACTCATCTTTTGCTATTCATTTGATATCTTCTGGAGTTTTCTCACCTCTAAAATCAGAATAATGTGAGTTTTCATGGGATTATGTAATTCTGATGCCTGAGAATTTTATTTGAAAGTGCATTTCAAAGTAAACAGTAGATTTTAAACATGATGCATCCAATCCATTGAGCTTATGCAAGTAAATCTTGTGTACTTGGTACTTTTCTAAGAACTGTTGATGCCGAGTCTTAGAAGTCCTCTTGGTCAATAACTGCCACTTTTCATGTGGCTCAGAATAGTCGCCCTAGAATTCTACTTTTGCTGTGCTTCTAATTTATCAACCTACTTTATTATTTAAACTGTTGACATTGCTCTATGACCAGTAGAAATTCATTGTGTTTTAGCTATTGGTCAGTTCAAACAGTCACGTCCTTTTCATTTTCTGGTGCAGGGACGACCCACCCTTGTGCTTGTATTGGTGGTGAGCAATCTGAGGTAGTTCTTCATTAACTGAAAGGAAGAATGCCAGTTAGTAATTTGCAGACAGCTGAGTGCCATTGGTTCTTTATAGCTCATAAGTGGCTACTAAGCTAGCTTTCTGAATGGTGGCCCTAGTGAGTTAGAGAAGCCCAGGTCTTCAGGGCAAGTCAGAACTCACTCACCGTCTCAGTCACTTCTAAAGAAAAGGTCAAGATTGTCATAAGCCAAACATTTAGCAGATTAATTGTTGATTAAGTTTAGACTCCCACATTTAATAAGCTGACACGAAGCTTGTGAGTAGGCCAGGAGTTGAGGGAACAGTACTCTGCTCCTTCCCCAAATTCATTTAGGCATTTATAATTCATACAAAAGTCACAGCAGTCCTTTCCCTCTACCTTTTGGCATCTTTTACTGAATACACTGATCGTTTCAACTTTTCACAACTTGCACATTCTTTAGCCTCTTAGAATATAACTAGTTAAAGCTACTCAACCAACCTATTTAACCGTGTTGATTACATCCTCATTACTCCTATTGACCAAGTCTAGTGGCATTTTCCAGTCCCCAGTTTTCTTCAAGGATTTGAGATGAATGCATTCTCCTCCCCACTCTCAGTCTTCTCCCTTCGGCTTTTGTTATGTACCATGTTTCT